AGCAACAGTGAATAGTATATAGGTTATAGTAGGTGTTGACTTGCAGTTATATGTCAGCCTGAACACAAAGCGATTGATTAATGTGGTATACCATTCAGCTTTCTGTCAATTCGCTCTTCACAAGGGGATACTAATTTTTGGGCTTTTTGGTCCGAAATTGATTAACCAGTATCCATTTCTAGGCTGAAAGATGCTCGACAAATAGCCATAGATGGTTTGAGAATAAGACGTGTAGGGATTTCATCGCTCCTCCTTTCCAACGTTGTTGAATCTGATTCGGGTCTGTATACGTGCCGAGCTAGTGATACTCATGACTCACTTGATCGAACTGTTGCTGTTAATGTTGCGGGTTAGTTGTTGTTGTTGTCTCAGCCTGCAGTATTTTAAAACTATTTTTTTCGTTTGGTAAATAAGAGAAGGTTTTCAGCAGCGCCACGGTTAACACTTCGCCCTCAAAATAAAGTGGCAATAGAAACAACTGACGTTGAGGTATTTTAATGTTATTTGGCTTACATTTGAGTTACTTGAAATATTTACCATAATTAAGCTGGAATGCGCATCATCAGGACGTCCAATGCCCACGATCTCTTGGTTCAAGAATGGCGAGGCTATTATCGCCAGCGACTACTTTGTGATTGAACCTACGAGGTGGCTTAATTCAGCAACTTTGCTTTTCAAAGCTGGATATTTTTTCCAATTGTTGCAGATTGCGCATCCTTGGGCTCGTAAAAGCTGACCAAGGTGTGTATCAGTGTATAGCCGAGAACGAAGCGGGCAGCGATCAAGCCATAGCTCAGCTTTTGGTCGATAGTGCAGGTACAAGTGGTGTCTTGTGTATTAATTGTCTTGTTATTGTTTGATATTTTTATTCTCTTTCTGGCAGGTCCTACTTACTTATCCACCATTGGTGTGGATAGCAGTACTCTGAGTGTCCGAACTAGTCCTATTTCTTTTCCAGCGGATGGTTGGTTTTGGAGTTCCTTGGCGCGTTCCATGAGCATTTGACTTGTTGTGGCCAAACAAGTTTTTGTGCATGGTTGTACTGTTCAAGCGTGTGGCCACCGCAGTTAGTGTCTACCCCATTGATACCATTTAACAGACATGATTAGTGGCCTCTGTCCAGTTATCATCTTGTTGTGGGACTGTTTAATAGCATTTTGTGCACTAACATTATTTGCCTCTTTGTATCATTGTCACTTGCATTCTTTAGACTCATCATCTATAGCAGCCTCTTCTGGTCAACCGAAGATTGCTTCTGCTCCTTTAGGTCTCAAAGTTGGATCTCTTGGTAAGTTATACGCATTTTGCATGTAAGCATGATACTGAACATTTCTTCATCTTTATAGGAAGTCGATTTGTGAACCTGGAGTGGGATCCACCTCTATCGCGAAATGGTAATATCATGCGGTATCACGTATTCTACAAGGAAGAAGATAGCGATAGGTACGGCACATAGAACAGTCTTACTCAAGGCATCCACTGTGTATCACGAACTCCCTTTATAGAGAAAGAATGCTGAACTCCTCGTCGACTTCGGTAACAGTTACTTCACTGCAACCGAATACGCTGTACTTATTGCGTGTCGTATAACTTCGAGAACGAAGCTGGCATGGTGAATCAGTGATCACATAAGGTTACCACTTAGGAAGACGTGGGTGACCGCCTAGTATCACATTAATTCAGTGCAGATTGTTGAATATCATAAATGAATGTTCAGAAGCCGTGCCAGGTCGAATTACCAATTTGGTTGCTCGGCCGCTAGGTCCTGAAACAATCGAAGTCAAATGGGATCCCCCACAAGGAGGGCCCAAAGCTCTTCGATACAAACTTTTTTACATAAGAAATCCACCGGAAGACGATGACAAGGAAACGCAAACTATTGTAAGTTTTTCCTTCTTCCCATTCACTTCCCAGTTGCATGTGATCCACAACTAATTTACTTTTTATATTTCTCATACAGCGTATACTTTACATGGGATGGACAAGTTTACTGAATATCAGATCCGTGTTGAAGCTGAAGGAGAAAACGGAAGTGGTCTGAGTAGCTATCCCTTGAAGGTGGGTGTGTGAGAATGCTGAAATCTGTCAAGTTGCAAACTCATTTTGCGATCATGTTTCATGAAAGGCGTGTTATTGGCTAAATAGTAGGAGGACGTGCTCTACAACCTTCCCAACCAAATTGTCATCATCTTCTGCTTCTTATAATTGTCGTTTATACCCAAGTTCTAGCGAACTATAGCGAAGTAAAAACTGATCGAATTATAACTAAAACAATGAACATTTCCCGTTCCGGTTGAGGTAGATGCGTTGTCGTGTCATCATTCAACAAAGCGCTCTATCATCGCCCTACCACTTCGACAATTTTTGATGTCGATCATAGAGCGTCTCTTTCAAGGTTCGCACGCTTTCGGATATTCCATCGTCTCCTCCGCGAGACATCGTTGCTGAAACCGCTTCAAGCACAAGCGTCAGAGTAACTTGGAGCGAACCAGATCCTGAAAGCTCGAATGGAGAAATCACGGGATACAGGTACTTCATATATCTTCTTTTCTTACTTCATATATCTCTTTTACCAAGTCTTGTGTATGATTTTCGCCTCGCCACGGGGAATATCGGGTAAGACGGCAAATAATCCTTTTCTTGTACACTCTCCTTTTGTTGACCTCTCTCCTGGGTCTTCCTACCACTGACAAAGAGATACAAACCAATATAGTTTATGCTATTTCGCCTTTAAATACAATCATGCTCGAACTTACTAAAGAAGGTATCTGTATTCTGTATGCGGGGTCAACACAACGATTTTGAAAGCCCATACAATATAAGACGGGTTGAAGGGGCTTCCAAAATCGTTGTGTTGACCCATTTGAGGCCATAAATAAGCCACAAACCGGAAGCACTGAAGACCCCAGGCTTAGGAACGTTCAGTTATCCCTTCGTGCACAAACCTTTTTTCAAAGCAGCAGCTGCACACTACATTACTATTTGAAACATTCTTTAGACTCAGAGCTGCCCTCATCTTCCTCTTTCCTCCTTTTTACATCCGTTACTTTTTTTCCGAAGGTGTAATCTCAAACTCGAGACTTCTCAACCTAAAGTCACGTTTGAGGTGCTCATCTGATCCTGCCGAATGATTTCGGGCTTCCCATCGCATATTCACAGTTTCGATTTGCACTATTTCTAGCTGTTGCCTTTTCTAT